GGGCCTTCTGCGCACCTCCAGGGACCCCGAGGGACTTTTCCAGAGACCTCTGGGGACCGCAGGGGATGTCCAGAAGTCTTCCAGGACGAGGGCAAGATCTGTCAGCGCTGGCTCGGAAAAATCGGATCGAATCGAAATGTGCGTTGCATCGGGCCGCATCGGTACCGCATTGGAATCGAATCGGCCCGGCCGCGCTTGGATGCACAACGGCGCCGGACAAGCATCGGGCTGCCTCGGATCGCCTGCATATCGGAACCGAATCGGATCGGTCCAACCGCAACCGATCTCAAACGGGTATCGAATCGAACCGGATCGAAATGGACCATGGTGAGGGGGAGGAGGAGGAAGAGGGCCGTCAGGGGCAGGAGACGGTGCCGGGCGAGCTGGCGAGGGAGGACAAAGAAGCGGCGGTCGCCGTCCACATGTCCATCCTGCTTGCTCATCTTGTGCACATCTCGCACTTTCCATTGCATTTAACAAGCTTCTGGTGTTGCCAGAAGTGGTCCTGGCCCAAGGTGTTCCCAGCTTCTCGCGCCATTTTGGAGTCCCCAGGGCCCTCTGGGCCTCGTGAGTGGCGCTAAGGAGGCAATCTGGGCCTCCCTGGGAATCCTGGGGACACCATGGGCCAGGGACGCCTCTGGCAATACCCGATTCACTTTCTCGTCTCGCTCAGTACCGGCTGTGCAACAGAGCAACTCCAATTGCGAAGCTCTGCCTCCACCCTAGCTGCAGCGGCGCCGAGCTCCTTCAACTTACGCTCGTTGGCCAGCGCCTGCGCCCGCCTGGTGACGCGCTCCTTCTCTGTCCTGTTGGCCGTTTATATAGTTCGAGGCCCGCTCCTACAAGGAGCACTGGCCCACTGAGCAGCACGGCGCTCCGATCGATAACCCCGCCTGCACGGTCCAATGCGCCCGATATCCCCCTCGCACGCCACGGCTGGCTGCTGCCATGAGGATCAAGCGTGCGAGAAGGAAGTGCAGCGTCATCGTGGGCGCGGGAGCAGCGGTGCAGAGGCAAAGCGCGAACCCATCATTATCATCATCATCAGCAGCATCATCATCATCATCATCATCACCACCATCATCATCACCATACTCATCATCACCACCACCATCATCATCACCATCATCAGCATCATCATCGTTATCATCATCATACTCATCATTATCATACTCACCATCATCATCAGCACCATCATCATATTCAGCATCAGCATCAGCATTAGCATTCTCATCCTCATCATCATTCTCATCATCATCATCATCATCATCATCATCATCATCATCATCATCATCATCATCAACAACAACAACAACAACGACAAGTGTGCTGACGTGAGCCTAACGTCATCAACCACGACTGGGGGCGCCGTTTTGCATTTGCGACAGCTGCGAAGGTGGTGACACAAAGGGTCACCATCGACACCGTTCTCGCCGACGCGGTGTACAGGCGACGTCGGAGCCCGTCGACATCCACTATGCAGGACACGAACCTAAGCCCGAACGTGATCACATCCAATGCCGAGATCAGCACGCCCTGCGGCCATGACCCACGGGCAGGACAATCCGGACCGCGCGTGCAGTGACCGCGCAAACGTGGCTGGGGTGGCCGATGGTGGCCGTGCCGCCAGGAACCCTGGGACATCCCTGCCCTGTCGCAGCTCGCCGAAGCTGCGGGCGCGCCTAAAAGAAACAACCCGGTGCTGCAGCCAGGCCGCGTCGTCGTTCTGGCCGTGGTCGGCCGGCTAATCAGGCCCCACCATCGAGGGCTCGGCTCCTGGCGCTCCCACGCTGCACTCAGGCAGCGCCTGGCTGCCTCGCCCATCCAGAAGCCCCATAGGGGACCGGATGCAGATAGTGACATGCTTTGTGATCTGGGAGGGCTCCGTGAAGAAGCACGGCCACGGCGAAACGTTCCTTGCGTCCATGGCCAAGCGGCTGCATGAATACTGCAACCTGCGGAGCGACGGACGTTTGGAACGTGTCGATAAGCTTTTCGGGTACTGCGACCCTCTGGGCACTGGTCTGGCAACTCCCGACGCGATGTCCCAACAGGTGCCCATGCTGGGCCTCAAGGGCACGGCTGGAAGCCATCCGTGTGTTACTGCTGAAAGAACGCCAAACCTTCGGCCAACAACGGGCTCCCAACGGTGGCGTATCATTCATACTCATTCTGCACCCCAAATGACGGAAGCAAGATACCCGTGTACGAACCGCGAATTGCTGGACCTCCGGTTGAGGCTGCACAGCAGCCCCACTACACGACAACAAGCTCTCCGCTCGGCAACCGGCTCAAGAAGTGCTAGCGCGACGGAGCGGACCTCTACAGCTGCGAAACTCCGCATGCATGATCTACGGGGCGTTTTTTGGTCTCGACTCTGGGGATGAGGAGCTCCGAGCCAGATGGCGAGCCAGATGGCGAACGTGACGTCCGCGGCAACATGACGCCTGGTCAGGGCGCGATGAGGAGCCAGCAGAGGCAGGCAAGGCTCCTCCGAGATTCTTCCCTTCTGCTTGCTCGCTGCGCCGTGACTGGGGGATGGACTGAGGAAAGAAATGGCTTGCCTCAAGGTCCAAACTGGCACTGCCAACGTCTGGCAACATCTGCCTCTTTGGACGCCCGAAATGGGCACGGAAAGAATGGGCACAATGCCCAACAACAGATGTTGTCCCAAACCAACAGCGGCCGCTGTTGGGCAGGCGGCCTTCTGTCTCGAATGGACACAGGCCGCGGCGGCGTGGACAGCGAGTCCTGTTCAAAATGAACAAGAACTGCTGTTGGGCATTGTGCCCATTCTTTCCGTACCCATTTCGGGCGTCCAGAGAACTGGTTTGCCTCAACGTCCAAACCGGCACTTCCAATGTCTGGCAACATCTGCCCCAAGCCGGCCTGGCCAAGTCCGCGGTGACGGAGGACCGGTCGCCAGGAGCACTGGCCACTCGCAGGCCCCCCTGGAGGGAAGCATTCTGCAGCAGGCACGGAGACAAGAAGGGTGAAGGGGGCGGGGGTGCTAGACCCCGACCTTTGGACCAGCAGGGGGCCCCATGCGAACCCTACCCTTACCCCCCACGATTTCTGAGGGGGAGGGTGGGGTTCACTTCTCTCGGGAGCTCCCGAACGAGGTGAAACCCACCCTCTTTTTCAGAACTCGTGGGGGGCAGGGGTCGGGTTCGCATGTGGCCACCCTAACAGGGCGCCCGCGCGCGAGCCGAATCCAGCAAAACGAACGAGGTGCGAGCAAGCTGGACGAGCGGAGTCCCGTGATCCCGCAGAAGCCCTTTTCCCGAGCGCGCAGCCCCCTTGAGAAAGGACGCCTTCCTCTTGCTCGCTGCGCCGTGACTGGGATATGGAATCGGGAAGGAACTGTTTTGCCTCCAGGTCGTAGGCGGCATTTCCAATGTCTGGCGACATCTGCTTCTTGTGGGGTGCATCATGGAGCTGCGCGCTGGCGTGGCTGGGTCCGCGGTGGCCCAAGAACGGTCGCCAGGAACACGGGCCAAACGCAACCCAGAAGAGGCGAGCTTTTACACGCTCCCAGTGGTGCGCCTCCACAAAAGCATTGGTGAAACGCGCGTCTGGCGTTGAGTAGTGACCGGGGCCGCCACGTCACTCGAAAATGTAAACACGGCGCGCAGCAGCTGATCGAACCGTTCTGAAAAACTGGCGCTGGAAACTCGGATGGTTTCTGGGGGTGACCAGCCGCCCTGAGCCCGCGCTAGCTCTTCCGGCAAAAAGTACCATGTCGTGAACCAAAGGGCACAGACTTTGCGTAGTGAGTAGGTTCCCACTGCAGCAATTTGACGGAACTGCGTGAAATTTCGGCGGACAATAACACTTTATGGGGCGACGCTCTGCCAAACGATTGCGCAAAACGCGGAAACATCTGGGTCGGAATCCTGGCGCGAATCCCGATGAACCAACAATTCCCGCAAGAGGTGGCAACGGCATGAGTTCGGTGTGTGTGTGTGTGTACCATCCTTGACCTTGGGATATGGCGCGCCATGCTTTGCCCGAGCGAGTCCGTCTTATATTGGGCCACGCAGATTGTCGCAAATCTTGGTGCAACAAAGCTGCCTGGTCACGCCGCAATTCTTCCAGAGATACTGAACGCTTCGCGTGCGACCGTGAATGGTCGGCCCGTTTCTTCAAACCTCTCCAAAATTGGGCCGGCCGGTGCGTTCATGCACTGTCGAAGCGTACTGCAGCGCGCAGATTTGTGACAAATGACCAAGACCGACCGTCCATCTGGGCAAACAGCAGCATGAACGTCACGTCTGAATCGCACATGACCGTATACAACCCCACAGAATTTTCGAAAGAATCTACGGCAGTGGGCAAGGAGCTGCTCTACCGCTTGTTCAGACGTGCTCTCGCGTATCAAGGACAAGAGGTCGGGGCCCTCAGCTCGAAGTTGCTCGGATTGCAACGCGGGGGCCCCAGCAAACCCGCTCGACGAGCTCGGGTTATGTCGGGCGTGTCCCCCTACAGGGGGATTTTCGACGACAAATGAAACATACCCCCAAAAGGTCAAAAACTAGTCCAACAATAGTCCCCAAACTATTTTTGGACTATTAATTGAATGTTTTTGGGGAATTTTTCATTTTTCGTCGAAAATCCCCCTGTAGGGGGACAGGCCCGACTTAAGGCCACCATTCGTCTTGAGTCCTCAAGGCATGGGGTCGCGGCGGCCATTCTCTGACGACCGACAGGCTGGGGGGGGCGATGAGGGCGCATCCCCTCCCGCCAGGGGAACCAAAAATACGACCCGCCAGGAGGGCAAGCAATACACACACCGTACGTTTCTGGACATCTTTTGGTGGTCGCGGGCCGCCTGGGCCCTGCCGCGGCTCCCGGTGATATTGGCCCCGGCCAGTGTTACTGCCTGTGGGGCGCGGACCCGGTAATCACGCGCAGCGATGAGGGTGTTTCTCCTTCTGCCAGAAGGGGCCAAGAAGTGCAGCGATCGTGCGAGGCTTTTTCGTCGTAGTGGGCCGCCTGAGCCGCGCCTGGGTCCCTGGTGACTCTGCTGGCCCCCAGCAACAGCCAATGCTTCGGACGCGCGACCCCAGCAGCCGCCGCCCAGCTCCCCCCGACGATCCCTGGGGTTGGACCATGCAGGGGGCGGGGGGGGGGGGCGGGGCGGGAGGGGCGGAAGCAACGGGACAGCGAAGGGAGCGAAAGCAGGGCGCTGGGAGGCGCATGCCCAGACCCTTGGATCGGGGCGCCCGCGCGTGAGCCGACGCCAGCAGAACCGCACGAGGAGCGAGCGAGCTACAGACGGGCCGAGTCCCGCGACCCCGCCGACGCCTCTTTCCCGAGCGCACGGCCCTCTAAGAGGGGACGCCTCCCTCTCCCCCGTCCTCCCTCGTGCTCCGCATCATCTTCAGATCCTCTCTCCTTCCAGGGTCGGTCGGAGGGGGGGCGGAGTTTTTTGTTTTTTGTGTTTTGTTTTTGTCCCCCTGTGTTTTGCTTTTCTTCCCCCCGTCTTGGCTGGCGCCAGGCGGCGGGGGCCCTCTGTGCCGCTCTGCCTCGCGCGTGCACCTGCGAGCCGAGCGCACCCAGCGTCTGAGCCGCTGGCCGACGACGACCTCCCCCCCGGGCTGAGGCGAGGGGCCTCCGCTCCCACCACTGAGGGCGCGGGGGGGTGCAGGGGCCTTGGGCAGCCTCCAGGGCGTCCCTGGTTGGCCCCTCTCGGGCCGTCCTGGGGCTCTCCTGGCTCGTCTGGCGCCCTCGGATGCCACCCTGAGGGCCTCTCTGGGCCGTCTTCTGACCCTCCTGGGCCGTCTTGGGGTCCTCGTGGCCCGTCTTCGGGCCCACCTTCGGGCCCTCTTGGGCCGCCCTTGGGCTATCTTGGAGGCCTTTGGTTTGGGCCGTCTTGGGCTGTCGGAAGCCCGGGCCCGAAAATGTTTCAGGCCCAAGCCGCCCCAAGCCTTGCCCAAGTCCCGCCAGCCCCTGGCCGTCCTGCGGGGGGCGGGGGGGCGGACATGACCAGTCGAATCGCATGGAGCTGGAGGAGAGAGAGCGAGAGAGAGCGAGAGAGAACATATACGATCGGAAAGAAAAAAGAGAGCGAAAGAGTGAGAGAGAGAGAGAGAGAGATGGATAGAGATATATAGCGATGGGGGAGAGAGAGAGAGAGAGAGAGAGAGAGAGAGAAACAGAGAGGAATATAGAAACAAAAAGATAAAACAACATAAAACATATCGAGAGAGAAAGAGAGAGAGAGAGAGAGAGAGAGAGAGAGAGAGAACAAAAGAGAGATAGCGCTGAGTCTCTTGAACGACATTCTGAGCTTCGTCAACGTCAGCTTGTGGGTGGTCATCCGGGAGTTGAGCTCCCTGCGAGCGGCTATTTCTGGCTCCTCCGCCGCCACCGTAAGAGCAGGAGCGGGGACGGAGGGGAATGGACGAGGAAAAGGGATAGGGGAGGGGGGATAGGGCTGGAGGAAGCAAAGAGGGAAGTTTGGAGGGAAAAGAGTCTGCCCCCCCGTTCTCCACAGGGAAAAACCCTCCCTCTCTCCCTGGCTCTCTCCCCGATGCCGAGCTCCCTGGATGCAGCCAAGCCCTCCCGCTGCTCATCCTCCACTTTCTTTCTGTGCGCTCCTGGGCCTCACCGTGGCCATCGCGGGAGAAAATGCTGCCGACCCCGCTACGGCGTGCTCACGTCTTGCCGACGTCATATGACGTTGGCACTGATTCTCGGACCGCGTGACCGGTCAGACTTGATCGATCGCGGCTATCCGATAGCGCAGATCGCTCGGGGGTTGCTGAGTGGGGGCGATAAGCGGAGGGGCGCGAAGACATGTGCACCTTTTCCGTGCAACTTTTGGGGCCCCACGGGAGCCCCTGTGGGAACCCGCGTGTGCGCGAGATAATGGGCCTGTTTTCCACCACCACTACCATAAGTTTTTTTTGTGTTTTTCCCACGATAGCCCAGCTGATGCACGCGTCCCAGCGGTCAGCGCGGGGCACAGGACAAGAGCCTAGAACGATGCGAATTCCTCGTACAACGTATCCGCGACAAGGGGGGGAGGGGGAGGACGAGGAGGCGAGGAGGGAGGAAAAGGAGGAAGTGGCAAACAAGTCCACGGCGTTGTGTGTGCATCCCTATGGCCCAAATGACCATTCATATAATAAGGCACAACACAACGACGATCAAGCGGAGCGACAGCGTGCTTCGGATTCGAAATAGCCCATAAAACGTATCAGCAGCAAGTGGGAAGGAGGAGGAGGAGAGGTAACAGCACATTCACAGCCGACAGGCTCCACGTGCAGGCGAGCTAAAACAGAGGAACAGGCAGGCCGTGCACCAAAGCACGGAGTGGCATGGACAGGCAAGTACGGTGATATACTTAGAGTCAATGATCATGGGGGCACGGCGGCGCCCCAGACAAGCCTCAACCCCTAAGGCGGCAGACAGCCAAGTCCGTGGCGAGAAGGCGCAGAGTCAACCGTCCGCGGCCGGGGGGGGCCGGGTGTGACGTGCAAAAGAAACAACTCGGAACACCTAACATGCAAGAGAAGAGCGGGAGTGGCAGGAGGGAGCGACCCAGAGAGGACGGGGAGGGGACAACACTCGCGCCGGGGCCTTCAGAGCTTGTAGATGTCGCTGCTGCGCGTGGTGCCCTGGTCCCCGTCGTGGTGCTCGCACTGGTGCTGCGGGTCACGCTGGTGCTCTTGGACGTGGCGCCCTTGGCCCTAATCAAGGTGCCCGCCCTGGTACTGCTGGATGCTCTGCTGATGCTCCATGTTTGATAAATAAATCCTCTGGTGCGTTGTCGTCCGATGGTCCGGGGTCTTGGAACGCGCAAAGAACCAGCGGTTAAAGCAAGATGGCGTCCAACATGTCGGTACTGGTGCAGGTGGTTGGTCGTACCGGTCTGAATTGGCGTAGGTGTCGGTACCGGTTGGTGCCTGCGTGGGCGCCGGCGTTGGTGCTGGCGTCGGTGCTGGCGTCGGTGCTGGCGCAGGCGGCGGTCGTACCGGTCTGGACGCCCATGAGCCCCAACCAGACACAACACATTCGAGGCATGGACGTAGGTGCCAGCGTTGTTGCTACCGTCGGTGTCGGCGGAGGCTCTGGCGTTGGCACTGGCGTAGTCGTAGGCGTTGGAGTTGGCGGCGGTGCTGGGCAAGGAACTGTCGTTGGTGTCAGCTTGGGCGCCGGCGTTGTTGCTGGCGTCGGTGCTGGCGTCGGAACTGTAGCCTGTGGTGGTCGTAACGTTCTGGATGCCCACCAGCCCGAGCCAGACGCAACAAAGTCGAACCAGGCAGGGACGCAAGCGGAGGCGTTGTTGTTCCCGTCAGTGCCGGCGTCGGCTCTGACGGAGGCTCCGGTGTCGGCATTGGCGTAGGCGTGGGCGTTGGGGTTGGCGGCGGTACTGGGCAAGGAACTGTTGTTGGTGCCAGCGTGGGTGCCGGCGTTGGTGCTGGCGTCGATGCTGGCGTCGGTGCTGGCGCAGGCGGCGGCCGTAACGGTCTGGACTCCCATCAGCCCAAGCTGGACGCAATGTAGCTAGGATGGCGGTGACGCTGTATATACGGAAACCTCCGGCCAGGTAAACGCCATACCATCCTTGGTCCCAGACGTCGAGACATCCCCCAGAACGTGACACCACAATCGTATTGACAAAATCCCCGCAACTGCTGGAGAAGTGGTGGGTGCTGATGTGGGTGCCGCTGCTGTCATGAACGCTCCCAAGAAAAAAACGGTGAGCTCAAGATCCCTTGGAGGACCGATTGTAGGCGCGGGAGTCGGCGATCTGGTCGGCGCGGGAGTCGGTGAGCTGGTCGGCGCCGGAGTCGACCAAATAATGCCAACAAAGTGTGGCCCATGTGTTTCTGCTTCAGTCGTGATGCGGCTGCTCATGCTTCACAGTCGTGGGGTGGTTCTGTGGCTCAAGTGGGGGCTGGTGCGTGTGGGACGGTGAGCGGGTCGAGGCAAGAGTCAGCGAACTGGTCGGCGTGGGAGTCGGCGAGCTGGCCGGCGCAGGATTCGACCAAATAATGCCAACAAAATGTGGCCCATGTGTTTCTGCTTCACAGTCGTGATGCGGCTTCTCCACCACTACCATAAGTTGGAGGGGGGAGGGAGGTGGAGGAGGAGGAGGAGGAGGAAGAAGACGAGGGGGAGGAGGACCCCCTCCCCCTCCAACTTCTGGTGGTGGTGGTGGTGGAAAACAAGCCCATTACGAGAGGTGAATCTTTCTCCCCCCCCGTTCATCGCCCCGTCTTGCGCAACACCTGAACCGCTCGATGTCGGCCGACTCTGGGCAAGTGCTGGCGTCCAACCTTGAATGCCCGCGCTGGGGTCGCTGCCGCCTCAACGCCACGGAAGTCCACGACGACAGCACAAACGAACACCGACCAGACCGACAACGCAACCGAAACCGTATCTACTGGAAACAACAGGGCGAGGACGCAACGACACGGCGACGACGACGACAGCCGACCGAACTGAACCGGCCGAGTGCAACCGGCAGCGACGCGGCCGAGCCGCCCGAACCGCGGACACCAATGGAAGCTGACAGAAGGTCGGCGCCGCCCGCCTGAAGTTGACTTTCTCCTCCTCGGCGCCGCTGCTTTTACTGCGGCGCTCAAAATGGCAAGCGGGCGGCAGGGCAACACTCTGCTGTGCCGTATAGCTCGCTGCCTGGCACTGCGCCCTGGGGAAGGTGGCACCGAGAGGATGCCAGAAGTCCAAAAAGGTCTGACAGAACGTGCTACTCCGCAGAGGAGCGCGGCTCGCAACCGCACAGCTCGAACATGCTCCCCCCAGCCATCCCCGAGATCCCAGCGCTGCAGCTTGTCCACTCTGGGCGTTCTCGCCCGGTTTTGGTACCCCGTTCCTCGGATATCGATATGGCTGGAGCAAAATGCTGCACAACAATCGTGTCGAAATGATTTTCCACGATGTTGTTTCTTTCGCGGCGTCGGATCTTCATCGAGAAAAACGTTGAAATGGATTCACCTCAAGTCGGGCAAATCCCCTTACAAGGGGATTTTGGACGAACCATAAAACAAATACGCAAACAATGCCCCCTAAATACCCAAACATAGTCAAGCAATCGCCCCCAGACTATTTTTTAAACTATGTTTGAATGTTCCCCCTGTAGAAAGACACGCCCGACTCAAGATTCACCGCGCGTGGATGCAGCGACGGCTCCCGCTTCCGTGCAGACGAGGAGAGCTCCGGCGCCACACCGGGCGGCACTGGCCCCTCACGCTGAGCAAGGTCCAGGGGCCCCCTCTTCATGGTTGCGTGCGCCCGCCTCAGGCAGACACGTCGTTCCTCGCTCCTCGTGCTCATTTCCAAGTGTGCTCGTTTCTAGTTGTCCCTGGCCCCCCAGTGGCCAGGAATAGGTCCAGGGTAGAACAATTAGCAATGAAAGGATCTTGCCCCCCCCAACAAAAATCAGAGAACTTTCGAAGACTTAGAAGTGAACAACGTGTAGCAGCTCCTGGGCATGGCAAAGCCCGACCGAGGGGCAACGTTCGGGGGGGGGACCAGCTCCGGGCGGGATCGGCGACAGGCCCCCGGTGGAATCCGCGTGCTCCTGGGCGGGGCGGGCTCTCGGCCCCCTCTCGGCGATACGTGGGCGATGCTCCCCCCCTCCCCTGCCGCTGCCCCTGACGCGCCCGACTCAGGGCCTCACCGCTCCTGGGCATGGCAGAGCCCCTCCCCCCCCTCCGCCCCGGCGGCCGCCAAGGCCGGAGGTGCTGCTCTGGCCATCGCTCGGGCGTCCATACCCCGTGCTTTCTTCGGCTTCGTGCGCGGCCTTGTCGCCAAATGATTTAGGCTGCTCCTCGAGCGTCCTCGCCGAGAAAAAAAAGTACACGCGTCCGAGCGATGCCAGGCTCAGGGGCTCACCGCTCCTGGGCATGGCAGGGCCCCCCCCCCCCTCCGCCCCGGCAGCCGCCGAGGCCGGCGGTGCTGCTCGTCGTCGCCGCCCGCAGGCGGCCCGCGAGCGCGCGCTCGGAGCGCGCCGCGCCAGGCCCTGGAGAGACCCGGGGGGGGGGAGCAGGCGGCGGCACGGGCTCTCTGCAGCTTCGGCAGTTCGTACGGCGTGGGCAGGCCCAGGCCGAGGTGCGGAGTGGCAAGTTGACGCCGCGGAGGCGGGGGATCCGACCAGCCACAACTGGGGGGAGCGGTCGTCCTTGCCCTCCGGGGGGAACCTATCGCATCGACGACCTCTCGAGAGGGGTGTCGAAATCGATGGGTCCCCCAGGGAGGTAAGGACCACAGCTCCCCCAGTCGTGCCTGGCCTGGGGATGGGCGAGGGCGGCCGCGGAGGGGAGACCGCGGGCGGGCGAAGCGCTCGGGGCGGGCTCTGAAGCGCAGCACCCTCGCAGTGCACGTGCAGGGGTGGGTGGAGGCGGGGGAGGGGCCAGGCCGAGCGGCACCGCGCCCGAACTTCCATCAAACCAACACGCCGGGCGACCTTTCGATGCCCTTGGCCTCTCCGGCGGCGCCCAGCGGATGGCCAGTAGCCAAAGGGCACCGAGCCTGACCTCCCGCAAGAGGAGGGCTACGCATACGGCCGAGAACATGATTAAGAAATCTGTCATTTCAGAAACCTGGGCCGGCTTTCCAGAAGTTCCTCAAGACACACCTGGGCCACGCGTTCGTGTTGAAGCTGGAGGGGCGAACGCGCTCCAGAACCTGGGCCAGCTTTCTGGCAAGCTTGTGAAGAACCGCTGGCCCAGTTTCTCGGGAGGAGGTGTCTTAATTAGGGAATCGAGCTCTATACACCGACGCAATTTACGACCCTGCATTGAAATCTGTACTGGAGAGCGGGTCCTGGTGTATACGGGACTCTGGTGTATACATTTTTCGTTGCTTCCCGGGGACATCGGGGGAAAAAAGTATACAGCACACCACCCCAGCGTCGTTCCCCGACCCACACGCAAGAGTGACCCTGGGTAAGAGTGACCTTTGGTGCGCGGTTTTTTGGGGGCCGCGGAGGGACCAAACTGGGACCAAACACCAGCGCGCAAGACGCTTCCATCGCATCGCGCTCGGCGACTGGGGGACCCAAATCGGCCCGCACCAGAGGCCACTCCGGCGAGGGGCCACTCTTCCCAGACCCCCGACGTCATGATCTTTTCATGACGCGACCCCCAGAGGTCTGGACCCATTCCCCGGGACCGGTTTTTCATCCTGAGTCGTTTTTTGACGGTCCCGAGGCCCGGTGGGAGCCCCCAGAAACTGAAAATAGCCAAAAACCTCCCGTCATGATTTTTTCACGACCCGAGGGGGTCTGGGTGTCGTGTCGTCGAACATCGCACTGCGCCTCGGGGGGCGCGCCGGCCCGGCCCCGCGCCGGCCAAGCCCCAGGCGGCCACGGGCCGGCTCGATCGCAGACCCCGGGCCCGCGGAGGGGGGGGGGCCGCGGGTGGGCGCCGCGCGGCTCTCCAGGGCCAAGGGCCGGCCGGAGGGAGAGGAGGAGGAGGAGGAGGAGGAGGAGGAGGAGGAGGAGGAGGGGGAGGAGGAGGAGGCGGAGGAGGCGGCAGTGGATGGGGAGGAGGAGGAGGCCCCCGTCTCTTGGGCCCCGACGTGTCGCCTGCTCCGCCCCCCCCTCCCCTCCAATGGCGTCGAGGCCCCTCACTCTTCCCTTTCTGCCTGGCGCCGCCGTGGATCCCAGGCCGCCGGGGATGGGCGGACCCCCGTGAGCGCGGACCCCGGCACGTGCGCTCCCGCTGGGCCGAGGTGAGCGCTGCCACGCGCAGCAAGATCCGGAGGACGACGACGACGAGGGCACGAGCGCGCGAGCACGGGGGGGGGACGAACGAAGAGGCCCCAGGGGAGAGGATACCCGGGGCAGCCAGGGCGGTGAGGCGCGTGGGGCTCTCGCGCCCATGCGCCGGCAGCTCTGCCTGCGCACTCCTGGGCAGAGGGATGCGGCGCCCCAACCTGTTCTCGGTGCAGAATTCGGGCTTCGCGTCGCCGTTTGGAGCGATGCTGGCCTGTCTGGGACGCTCTCGTACGGGTCCCGCAAACGTCTGAAAACTTCAGGAACCGTAGGAAACCATACAGAATGTGCTGACCCCCGTCACGCCCATCCCGACCATCGGTGCAGTCTCCTAGGGTAGGGGGGAACGCAGTGAGCCAGGAGGTGGAGGACCAGGGCCTGAGCAAGGCGACGACGATGAGGATGATATGATTACGATGATGATGATAATGATGATGATGCTGATGATGGTGGTGATGATGCTAGTAATGATGATGCTGATGATGCTGATGATGAATATTATTAAGATAATGATTGTGATTGTGATAATGGTCATGGTGATGAAGGTGAAGATGAATATGATGATGATGATGATGCTGATGCTGATGCTGCTGATGATGACGATGACGGTGGTGGTGGTGGTGCTGGTGGTTATGATGATGATGATGATCACGATGACGATGACTATGATGATGCTGCTGCTGATGATTGTGATGACACTAATATGATGGTGGTGATGCTAATGTCGATTGTTGTTGACATGATGATGACGATGGTGATTGTGATGATGGTGATGCTGGTGGTGATGATGCTGGTGATGTTAATGAGGTTGATGATTATGGTGCTGGCGATTGTGCTGGTGCTGGTAATGCTGGTGGAAAACGAAAACGAAGAGGGTGGATGATGATGATGATGCTGATTCGGATGATGACAGTGATAAGTATAATGATGATAATGATTCTGATGCTTATGATGATGATGCTGCTGCTGATGATGATGATGATGAAGCTGATGATGATGATGCCGCTGCTGCTGCTGATGATGATGGTGGCGGTGATGATGATGACGAAGATGAAGATGAAGATGAAGATGAAGATGATGAAGATGATGATGATGATGATGATGATGATGATGATGATGATGATGATGGTGATGCCGAAGATGCAGGGGAGCAGAAGGAGGGAAAGGACGGGGATGAGGAGGGGGAGTAGAAGGAAGGAGCGGGAGGAAGGAGCATGACGAGCAGGAGCAAGAGCCGATCTGGCCAGGTCGAGCGAAACAACAGGTCCTGCCCGCTCCCGCCCTCCTCCCCGCAGCATGAGAACAACGGGGCGGAGGGCGCTTGCGAACACGGCCCCGCTTCCGACGACCTGGCAAAGGAAAAGCACGCGCCGCGCCCAAACGGGAACGGTGGGGTCATGTGGAATTCCAATGAGGTCAACATTCCGCTCACTTGCGTGCGGCCCAACTTCCGACTGGACTGGAGGTCAAACAAGCATGCGCCGCGCCCATGTGGGAGCGAAGCTTTCAAGAACAAACTGTGCGGCCTCTATGGGCGAGAACGACAAATAACTCTCTGAGGCTGTGCTGACGGCGTGCGCCGTGCGCCGTGCCTAATCAAACAAGATGACAGTTATTGGAGAAACCCGCGGCACTAGGGCAAGAACAACATTTGGCGCATTTGCGCGCAATGTGCGCCGCGTTCCGCTCCTGCCCCGATCGACAGGCCCGCTTAGGGGCGCTGGAGGGCCGCTAGGGAGGCGAGTGGGAGTATCTACTGCTGATGAAGAATCCGCCGCCATGCCTTGGGGACTGAGTGGGGTGTGCTCACGTTCCTTCGAATTCGCTGTGTGAAGTGTTGTAAACACTACACTCTCTTGAAAAGGCCCAGACACTCGTTCTCACGCGCTCCTGGGAATGCCCGCGAGAGTTCTCCAGGGGTGGGGTGTTCTGAAGCTCCTTCGAATTCGCGGTGTGAAGTGTTGTAAGCACTACACTCTCTTTAAAAGGCCCAGGCCCTCGTTCTCACGCGCTCCTGGGAGTGCCCGCGAGAGTTCTCCAGGGATCTCGGGAGCGTGGCCGTGGCCTTAACCTTAAGTCGGGCCTGTCCCTCTACAGGGGGGATATTCAAAAATAGTAAAAATAGTCAGGGGACTATTTTTTGAGTATTTTTGGTCATCTTTTGAATATTTTCTGAATATTTTTTGTTTTTCGTCCAAAATCCCCCTGTAGGGGGACAGGCCCGACCTAACCTTAACCTGCAACGTGCCTTGAGGCAGCCGCAGAAGTCTGTGTGGTGGCCATCTTGGCGGCCACTTGGGCCGTCTTCGAAGATCCGGGGGGTAACCCAATACGTCCAAACCAGTGAGATACATTGTCAGCATGATACCCAAGCAACGACTGCTGTACACAATGAGAACTGCAGAGTGCGTTTCTAGACTCCAGCATGCGACACATGTGAAGCTGCTGTGTCGTGAAAAGTTGTGGCCACATGCCGTCGCGTGCCTACATCTCAGCATGCGAAACAATGCCGTGCGGTACCGTGCCCGTGTGGCTGCCGTGTGTGATTCCAGAATGCGCAAGATGTACCATTGCCGTGCCCAAATTCTAGAACGCGCAAGATGCTATGCTGTGCCGTGCTCGCGTGCCGTGCTGTGGATAGGCTCCCGAATGTGCCGCATCTGCCGTGCGGGCACCGTGCCCCCGTGCCGTAAACCGTGCCTGAGTTCCACGGTCCAAAGCGTGCAGCGCCGCACCAGTGCCCGCGTGTCGTGCCGTGCCCACTCCGAGCCACTCAGTGAGCGTCGGGGGGTGGCGTCACCCTCGCCGACGGCGCCCCACACCGACCCCCCGTCGCGGGCAGCCACCGCGCGCCGGAGGCGCTCCGACCCCCCATCGCGGCGCGACGACGAGGCGAGGTTGACCCCCGTCGGCGGGGGGGGGTACCCCCCCCACGCTCATCAAGGAGCCCAGAGTAAGCTCTAAGCGCCAAGACGTCCGGTGCCGTCCCAGTGCCCGCACACCCTGCCGTGCCCAGGTTCTCGACGGCGACCCAGTGTGCCATGCCGTGCGGGCGCGGTGCCGCGCCGTGCCCGCCTGCCGTGCCGTGCCGTGCGTGCTCGGCTTCTCGCGGCACGGGCCACCCACACCAAGCACGCCTCCTGTGATGTTGAGTCGCCATGTGTCTTCTGATGCAGCGTTGCTGTCTGGGGTCTCGTTGCACGGTGTAGTAGTCGAACTCGAAGCTTTCGGGCCTCAAGGGTGTCAAAGACGGCCTGGACCCAATGTCGCACCAAGACGGCACCCGGAATGACGCACCAAAGAGGGTTTCCAACGGCTGTTCCTCCCCAGATGGCTCCAAGAAGGCCCTGATCGCCATCAAATCGGCCCGAGATGGCCCAAATGGCCTCCAAGTACGCTCAAGGTGCCTCCGAGAGGGCCCCAGATGGCCTAAAGATGCCCAGATCTGGCCTCAAGATTGTCCAAGCGGCCCCACAAACGTTCCAATTATGCTCCAAGAGGTCCCCCAGGCTTGTCAATGCTCCATCGAGAAGCAAAAGTCATTGACATTCCTGTGGCTTGTCAGTGATTTTCTGATTCTATCTTTGTCTGTTTGAGGAGCATCCAAGACGGCCCAAGAAGCCCCCCAGATCACCCCAAAGCGACCCCGAAGGTCTCCAAGGCGGCCCAAGATGCCCCCACGGACAGCCCCAAGACGGCCCTACATGGCCTCAAGCGACGCTCACGGCCGCACTAAGACTGCTCTAATAGCCACAAGACGGCCCGAGAGGTCCTCTTGAGGCCCCACAGAAGGCCCAACAGGCCCGACAAGAGCCCCGAACCAGCCCCACGACGGTCCCAGAGGGCCCTTCCCCAATGGCCCCCCCCCAGCAATTCCCCAGCGACCGGGGTAACGAGCAATTCACCAGCCTGGCTGGACTCTCGGCCAACATCTCACCACACAGGCACCCCCAACACGCTGGGGGCGGCGGTGACTCACCCGAAGCGTCTTCGATAAGGTTAGGGCGGAAAACGGAATGGAGATAAGGTTAAGAGAATTCGATTAGGAAGAAGGCTCGGAGGGTACGATCAGGAGAAATATGAATGAGGGGATGAACGGTCGGCGGGTTCGATTAGGACGGGAAGGGGAAGGAGGAGCCCTCGCCTTTCCCTGCACTCCGCCTTTCCTCTCCTGCCCCTTCGCCGAAAATCTGCCAAAATCTAAACAAATCGTGGAAATCCTCGGAATCCCGAGAACCTCCTCTTTCTCCTGCTGCTCCTCCTCCTCCTCCTCCTCCTCCTGCTCCTCCTCCTCCTCCTCCTCCTCTCGTCCTCCTCTGCCCTTCTTTTTCTTCCTCTTCCTCTTCTTCTTCTCCTGCTGCTGCTGCTTCGTTCCTTCTCCTCCTCTTTTTCCTCCCGGCCCGTCACCTGCCCTCATCCCCTTCCGAACGCCCCAGAAACTCTGCAGAACCTGCGAGGCCTTCGACCCCCCCTCCCCACTGGAAAGCCCCCGCCTTTCCTTCTCATCCGCCTGCTGCCGCTGCTCCCCCCTCCCCCTCTCCCTCTCCGTCGCAGTGGCCCATTTTGCGTCCTGTTCAGCACTTCTCGCGCACGCTGGCCAAGCCCTTCTCCTCCTCCTCCTCCTCCTCCTCCTCCTCTTCCACCATCACTTTTCCTTATGAATAACTCCTACCTGTCGCACCCCGAGGCCAATCGGAAGGTCGGGCCAAGCGTTTCGCCTGAGACTTCCGTAATTGCCCTTTATGAGCCTCAAGCTGAAATAACTGGTAACAACTTCACAACTGGAGGGCGGGTCGCTTCGAAAATGTGGCTCTTGCTTTAGCGCCGCGCACATTCGTTTCAAACCCTTGCACGTGTTTCACGGATTGAGAGCGGGTAGTTTTCAACATGTGGCTCTCGCATTAGCGCCGCGCACATTCGTTTCAAATGTTGTACAAGTTTCACGTTTTTTTTCAGCGGGCGATTTTCAACATGTGGCTCTCGCCTGCGCTGCGCCCAGCCATCCTAACCATTTGCAACCACGTCATGGATGTAGGGCCGCTCTCGCCCTAGCGCCGCGCACAATCGTTTCAAAGCGTTGCAAGAATTCACTGGCTCTCACGGCTAACGTACCAGGATTGTCAGGGCGCAACACTTATGTTGATTCGCGGTGTTGAAGTCTGGAGAATGGCGTTCTGGCCCGATTCAGGATCGTCAAGACGCAACAGTCAAGTCGACTCGGGGCGTTGAAGTCCTGAAAATTGTGATTTGGCGCGCTTTAGGGATTTCACACGATTGTTCGCCAACGTGGCAATTCCCTCAATGGAAATGAACCCTTGTAGGGGCCTGTGAAGAGGGAGCTTGGAGGGAGAGTATATTCCAACACCGTTGATGAGTCCTGGGTTTGCACTGGTCCTCCTCCTCCTCCTCCTCCTCCTCCTCCTTCTCTTCGTGGTTTCCTTCGAGAAGCGGGAGGAGGGGTGGGGGACACTCCCGGCCGACAAAAAACAGTTACATGGACGACGACGGCAATCGATCGGTCACGGTCGCTCGTCGAGGTCGCCGCCGTCGCCGTCGCCGTCGTCGTCGCTGACGCCGCCGCCGACGCCGCCGTCGCCATTGACGTCGCCGCACCCGCCGCCGTCGCCAGTCGTGGTTGTCGCCGTCGTCGGGGAGCTCCTGGCCAGTCTCTTCCCAGAGGATCGTCCGCTCGCTGGGCCCCAGCTCGGCCATGGCCGACGGCAGGTCCTTGCGGGGCTTTGGACGCCCGAAATGGGTACGGAAAGAATGGGTACAATGCCCAACAACAAATGTTGTCCCAAACCAACAGCGGCCGCTGTTGGGCAGACGGCCTTCTGTCTTGAATGGACACAGGCCGCGGCGGCGCGGACAGCGAGCCCTCCTCAAAATGAACAGGAACTGCTGTTGCGCATTGTGCCCACTCTTTCCGTGCCCACTTCCTTCGTGCAGAGGGGCCGAGGGGGGCGGCAGGTGGGGCCGGAGGCACACCACGAGGCGAGGCCAAACCGGAGGCCAGCAGTCGACACGGGGAGGACTGCTGCTCGCTCCGCACGTCGCGGCGGCGGCCTCTGCGGCACGCTGCGCCCCGCGAGCTGACGGCGTGCTGCTCCGCTTCGTGGGGCGGGCCACCGGGAAGAGCTCGGGGCGCTGACGCCCGGGGGCCGCGGCTGCTCCCACGGGGCCTCCTCTCCCTCCTCCTCCTCCTCCTCCTCCTCCTCCTCCTCCTCCTCCTCCTCTTGCTCCTCCTCCTCCTCCTCCTCCTCCTCCTCCTCCTAATCCTCCTCCTGCTCCTGCTCCTCCAGCAGAACACCCTGTCGTGCTTTTTTCGCAGCGCGGGAGGGTCTGGGGATGTCGCCATCCAGCGGAGCAACCCCGTGAGGTCTCCGCGCCAGCGGGGCGTCCTGCACCCCTGTGCATCGTCCCGCCTGGAGGCGGCTCTGGCGGTCGGCCGCGCGAGACCGCAGCCTCCGAGCCCGAGGCGTGCCAGGAGGGACCCCTTCCCAAAAAGCGGGCACATGCTTCTGGGAAACCTAGCTTTGGAACAAAGCTCACAAGCTTTGCCCGGACGGCGTGCCGGAGGAAGATGAGGGATGAATATCGGGACCGGAGCAGATTCAGCAAACATCCCTGATGTTGTCATACACGCTCCCGTCACACATCCCTTCTTCTCTATGGTCTTTCCCAACCATCCTGTGGTGTTGGGTCCTCGTTTTGAAGAGACAGCGCTCCGCGTTCCTTCCTCCTCCTCTTCCTCCCCCTCCTCCCTGCTCCCCCTCCTTGCCTCTGCCCTCCGCATGTCTCTGTTCTGGCACCCCCAGTACAGCGTTTCGTGGCGCCATAGGGAGCTCCACCGAAGGCCCCAGTGCCAGGCCCGCATGCCGCCACCTCGCCATTTCGGCACACCCCTCACACGCTTCGTGGCCCCATAGGGAGCTCCACCGAAGGCCCCAGTGCCAGGGCCCGCGTGCCGCCACCTCGCCATTTCTGCACACCCCTCACACGCTTCGTGGCCCCATATGGAGCTCCACCGAAGGCCCCAGTGCCAGGGCCCGCGTGCCGCCACCTCGCCATTTCGGCACACCGCTCACACGCTTCCTGGCCCCATAGGGAGCTCCACCGAAGGCCCCAGTGCCAGGGCCCGCGTGCCGCCACCTCGCCATTTCGGCACACCCCTCACACGCTTCGTGGCCCCATAAGGAGCTCCACCGAAGGCCCCAGTGCCAGGGCCCGCGTGCCGCCACCTCGCAATTTCGGCACACCCTCACACGCTTCGTGGCCCCATAGGGAGCTCCCCCGAAGCAATTCGGCACGCTTCGTGGCCCCATATGGAGCTCCACCGAAGGCCCCAGTGCCAGGGCCCGCGTGCCGCCACCTCGCCATTTCGGCACACCCCTCACACGCTTCGTGGCCCCATAAGGAGCTCCACCGAAGGCCCCAATGCCAGGCCCCGCATGCCGCCACCTCGCCATGTCGGCACACCCCTCACACGCTTCGTGGCCCCATAGGGAGCTCCACCGAAGGCCCCAGTGCCAGGGCCCGCGTGCCGCCACCTCGCAATTCGGCACACCCCTCACACGTTTCGTGGTCCCGTGGGGAGCTGCACCGAAAGCCCCAATGCCCAAACCCGCATGTCGCCACCTCGCCATTTCGGCCCACCCCTCACACGCTTCGTGGCCCCATGAAGGGGCTCCACCGGGGGCCCCAATGCCAGGGCCAGCATGCAGCCACCTCGCCATTTCGGCACACCCCTCACACGCTTCGTGGCCCCGTCGGGAGCTCCACCGAAGGTCCCATAGGCTTCGTTCGCATGCGGTTTCAGCCCTCCATTTCGGCGAACCCCTCACGCGTTCCGTGGCCCCACAGGGTGCTTCACCTGAGGTCCCAGTGGCAGCGCCCGCATGCGGTTCCATCCCACATGTTGGCGCACCCATCGCACGTTTCATGGCTTAAGGCGGCACCACCGAAGGCCACAGCGGCAGGGTCCACATGTCGGTGCCGCCCCATTTTTGCACACCCTTCGCACGCTTCGTGGCCCCATATGGAGCTCCACCGAACGCCCCAGTGGAAAAAGCCGCCTGTCGCCAACGGGCCGACGGGCCACTTTGGCACACCCCTCAAACGTTTCGTGGCAGCATACGAGGATCCACCGAAGATGGTACTCACAACTGCGGTACGTATCACTGCTTATGGCTGGGTCCTTCGCCAGGCTAATTAAGTGTTTGGTTTCCCACCGCCTCGTGCAGATTGCAGATGTGGTCTTCTATTTACGTTAGACACATGTCGACCACGCAAGAACAAGCATGGACACAGAGAGCAACCTATACGTAACGATGATGTGTTGGAGGAGAGATACTGCGATGCGTTCTGCGGTGCGGCTCGTGCGAACGCTACTTCCATAGATCTGGATGGGCATGCCGAACATATCGCACAAGCGATGCACAACGCCTCTGGACTCACTGGGGAACTAGATAAGCAACCGCACAAGCCTTGGATATCTCAACACACGTTGGATCTTTCATCTGCTCGGGATGCCGCTCGTCAGTGCAAAGATGAACTAGAAATTAGACGGTTGACCGAACTGCTCAAAAATACTCTTCGACGAAATAAGCAATTGTGGTTAGATGAACATTACGTGGAGGACCATGGCAAGCCGTACGACACCTCCGGGATGGCGCCGCGAAGAAACCACTCCAAGCGAAAGATTCAGGCGGCATGCTGGTTGATAGCAGCCAGCGCTCTGAAGCACTAGCTGATTATCTGGAGCACACACAATGGAAAATTACCAACCCCAGCGACAACCCGACCTCGAGGACGACATTGGGACACGCACTGCCTGTAGCGACGCACGCCTTTATTATGGAAGAACTTACAATGACACTCAAAAGGCTGTCTCTTGGGAAACTGCTGGAATCGATGCGACACCTCCGGAACTCTGGAAGTTCTTGTTGCGCAGTGGGGGAGTATTGTAATATTATCTTGCTTTATGCCAGAAGTGTTGGGATTGCAATGCTATTCCTGCGCAGTGGGAAACTGCTTGTGGTGCGCTGCTCTATAAAAAGGGGGACGCAAGTCTTCCAGAGCATGACAAGCCAATTGCATTGCTCCCGATTGGGTACAAACTCGTAGAATCGATGATTCAAAACCGACTGCAACATGGAGGTGCCGAAGAAAGAATGCAGAGCACTCACTTCGGTTTCCGGCCTGGCCGGGGCACCACGTCAACTATCTTCCTGGACTGGGCCACGGTTTTCGACAGAATCAAGCACGACGTTCTCGTTGAGGCGCTGCGCCGGTTTGGGATTCCAGAGAGAATGATGGAGTTCATTGCTGGCATATATCAGGGACGCTTGTTCATACTGAAAGACGAATGCGGCAACTCTTCAACCAGGAAGTAAAATACTGGAATTGCCGAGGGGTGCCCGCTCTCCTTATTCATGATTGTGCAGTCTGTCATGTTTTTCGATGTCGACAAGGAGATGGAAGAGGCAGGCGTTGACATCCAAGAGCCAGCGTACATTGCGTGTTCCGACCTCCTCTATGCGGACGACACCGTGTTTGTCAGCATGCACCCTCGCAAATTACAGCTCATGTTAATAACGTCATGAGGGAAGGCACACCATACGGTCTGCAGCTCAACTGGGATAGGACAGTTGCTATGAACATCAACAGCAGTGGGGATATCGTGGATCCCCAGGGGAAACCAATCAAGATTGTCGACAAGACCGTGCATTTGAGTGGACTTATTACTGCAAGCGCTTCAGCAAATTTGGAAGTATCAAAGACTTAGTTCAGCCAAAGGGGTATCTAAAGCCTTGCGCAAATGCTGGTCGCATGCCGATATATCGCGGCAATAGAAAGATAGAGTAGTACAGCGCCAACGTTTTATCAAAGCTGATGCATACTTTGGCATCTGTTTGGCTGCTCCAGGCTGACAAACGTCGGCTCGACGGCTTCCACGCCAGAAGCCTGAGACGAATTCTAAACATGCCATGCGCATGTGTCTCTTGAATTTCGAACAGAGAAGTTCTGGATAAGGCGCCCCGGTTTCCTTTGAGCGACACCCTGCGCAACCAACAAGCGAAGCCGTGTGAACACATAGCGGTCCTGCCGGAGGACCATCTCCTCAGAATGCTCATGTGCGAGCCTGTATCGTCGGAGCCACGCAGGTGGAGCTTTACCCGCAAACGCGGGCGGCCCAAGCAGCAGTGGGCCACTCGTGTGCATACTTTTCTCTTGTGTGTCCCCTCGCCCCTCGGTCTCCCTCCTCCCTCCCTCCCCCCCGCCTTCGGCCGGCATGTGGCTTTAACTTTGGAGCTGCTGTGTGCGCAAAACCAGCAGCAACTCTGCCAGCCGATGCGCCGTGGGCGCCTGGCATACGTGAGCGTGTGTTCCCACCTCCCCATGCATTAAATCTGGCTAGCTTTCCACCGCGCAACTTGACGAAGCATACGGAATTTTCGAGAAAGAGAGAGAGAGAGAGAGAGAATGAGGAGAGAGAGAGATAGATAGGGAGGGAGAGAGACAGATAGTTGCCTGGGTCATGTAAGCACTAGTTGGAGGCATCGAAGTGAGATTCCGCGTGACGCCAGAGCGCAGGCTCGATTGTGAGAAGAAGCCAGCCTTCATCCTCTTCATCCTCGCAACTGTCTGGAATTCGGGATTGCAAGTTTTGAGATTAGACTTAAGTCGGGCGTGTCCCCATACAGGGGGATTTTCGACGAAGAATAAAACATACCCAAAACATACTCCCAAATGGTCACAACATACCTCCAACATGGTCACCATTTTTTGACTATTTTTGAATATTTCCCCTGTAGAGGGACAGGCCCGACTTAAGATTAGACATGGAAATGAGCGACGTCCTGGACGATAACCGAATCTGCATAGGAAGCGCCCTCCATCCGTGTGGCTGTCGAGCACATGGAGCTCTCACGGGGGCCTCTGCAGCCCAGGCAGCGGTTCAAGACAAGCAGTGCGTTCGCTCGCTCGTCCGTCTGCTCCTCCTCCTACTGCTCCTCCTCCTGCTCCTCCTCCGCAGTCTTCCTCCAGCACACGAAGACTGCGCATCCCAGGCCAATCAGAAGCCCTACATTGGAACGAGAAGAGCTCACCTGACGCCCTCACGAGCATGGAAGACACGTGAGGACGCCTCTCCCTTCTCCTTGTCCATCCTCGATTTTCCACCATCGGTCGTAACTCGATTAGGGCCCCGACACCCTCAAGCGATTTTTTCCCAGCCATCCCGTGGTGGCGGTGATCGGCATACGCCCCCGTCACAAGCGTAACAATCGCCGTGGCGTTCGCTTTCGTCGTCGTCAGCGCCGCCGCCGCAATCGCCGTCACCGTGGCCGTCGCCGAATTGTTGTCATCTTCGCCGTCGTCGCCGTCGTCGTCGTCGTCGTCGTCGTCGTACTATCAGCATCGACATCGTCATCGCCATCGCCATCGTCATCTCCGTCGTCGTCGCCACTGGGAACACACACACACATATGTACCCATGCTGCTGCTCCGCGGACCTCTTCTCCCAGGGTGCGCTCCGACCCGGACCTCGAGGAGAGCCCGGCCGTGGCGACGAGGGCTGGGCCCTCGTCGGTAGCGATCACCTCCTCCTCCCCCGGGCCGCCGCCGCCGTCCCCGGGCGAGGGCCTCGGCGCGCGCCTCCGCGCGCTGCGTGGCGCGCCGCGCGTGCGCAGCGCCGTCGCCAACGTCGTCGTCGTCGCCGTCACCGTCGCCGTCGCCGTCGCCCTCGCCGTCGCCGCAGTTGCCGTAACCGTGGCCGTCGCCGAATCGTCGTCATCGTCGTCGTCGTCGTCGTCGTCGTCGTCGTGGTCGCCGTCGGCGTTGTCGTGGTCGCCGTCGTCGTCGTCGTCGTCGTCGTGGTCGTCGTCGTCGTCGTCGTCGTCGTCGTGGTCGCCGTCGTCGCCGTGGTCGTGGTCGTGGTCGTGGTCGTCGTCGGCGTCGTCGTCGTCGTCGTCGTCGTCGTCGTCGTCGAGGCCGCCGCCCCCGTCGTAGTCGCCGCCCCTCGTGTCCTTCAGCGCGGCTTCCAGCGCCTCCGAGCAAGCCTCCACGGCGCCCTCCGCGTGCATCACCCGCTCGAGCATCTCCGCGGGGTCCTCTGGGCGCCGCGGGGTCGGGGGGCTGCCGCGCGTGGCGGACCTCGCAGGGCTGGCTGCGCGCCGTGTCGCGCAACTCCCCGAGGTGCCCGGCTGGGGGGGTCCGCGCCGGGCGTCCGGGACCGCGCCTGCCGCCCGTCCTGCTGGTGAAGAGAAAGGGGGGGGGCTGCCGCGCGGCTGTTGCTGCAAACAATCTCGGCTGCGGAGCTGGCGCCCCTTGTGGGCCCTCCGCAGCGCCAAGATTGCGCCGGGAAAACGAGCCCGCGGGGAGACCCACAGACGGACCGAAGGGCCCGCGAGCCCATTCCGAGACCAAGGAGGACGACAGGGATGAGCAGGGCGAGGAGGGACAGGAGGCGGGGGAGGAATCTGACGAGGAGGAACAGGCGGAGCAAGAATGATGAGGTGGCGGAGGAGGACAGGACAGGACATTCTTTGTTGTTATCTAATGTTATTTGGACTCGGCTTCACCGCAAACACCGCCTCCGCGCAAACCTTTTCAGTCCCTGTCGATGGAGCCTCACAGTGCAGATACCTGAAGAATTTCAAGATTTTCGTCTGAGATGCGGATGCCCAGCTGGGAAAGATCGCCTGCCCCTATCATTAGGTTGGGCCTGTCCCACACAGGGGGGTTTTGGGCGAAAAATGAAACATGCCCCAAACATGCCACCCAAATGGTCAAGAGTAGTCAACAAAATCGTCCCCGTACTATTCCTTGACTATTTTTGAATCTTCCCCCTGTAGAGGGACAGGCCCGACCTAACCCTAGCAGCACGGCGGACTCCCGGCGGACACAGCAGGTGCTATAGCCGCAGCCCAGACCAGTCTGGGCGAGAGAGCGTACATCGGCGGCACGTGGGCTCCCACGCTCCCCGAAAGAGCCTCGATCTCCCACGCTCGCCGCTCCCTCGGGATACATGACACATGCTCGTGGAGTCCTGTTCAGAAATCCTGCGAGGAGGAGGAGGAGCAGGAGGAGGAGCAGGAGGAGGAGGAGGAGGAGGAGGAGGAGGAGGAGGAGGAGGAGGAGGAGGAGGAGGAGGAGGAGGAGGAGGGAGGAGGAGGAGGAGGAGGAGGAGGAGGAGGAGGAGGACTTCGTTGGAACTCGCCGGCAACCAGCATCAGAATCACGGCCGGATGTTGTCGAGACTCGCTGAGCGGCCAGCTCGGCCTGCTGCGCTCGCGCGCACGGGCGCGTGCGACCACGTGGTCGGCCAAGGAATAACCCTCTGTGCCCGCCAGGCCTGGCCAGTGGCGGGGAGCAGTGGTTTCGCAGATTTATGCATCCCCGCGTTCGCACTTTCATGCCAATGCGGTGGGGACGCATCCGCTCGGCGCAACTTTGCGAAACCGGCGTGCAAGAAGAACCATGTCCGAGGGACCTGTGGCGCCTTGTCCCAACTTCCAAGAAGACCCCCAGCCAACCCAGACGTCTCATCCACCAGTTGGGATACAGCACCGCTTGCCGCAATTGCAGAAAGGAGCCAAGCCCTGGAGAAAATGTCGACGTTTTGGCCCCCTCTTCATGTACCTCCTGATGGCCAGCACGTCCTGCCCAGCATGCGTATCGACCTCCTTATCCTTCCCCTCGTAAGGAAAGAATTGTTCCATCCTCAGGGGCGCGCAAACATGGAATAGCGACCCATGGATTTGGCGCGCGGTCGCCAAATCCATGGATCGGGGGAGGTGCCCTCCCCCAAATGCGGCTGGCGCCGCCTCGCTCGGCGGCGGAAATCCGCGATTTCCCATGGAAACGGGACCCGCCGCTAATCCCCGCCCCCTTGATCCATGTTTGCGATCGCCTGGCATCCTCTCTCTCTCTCTCTCCCTCTTTAGGGGGCAAACGAACCTACCTCGCTTTTGACCACCCTCGCTTCCAAGAATTACCAAGCGATGCCAAACTACGGCCCGCACTGGTCAGGCCGCTCGACTGGGAGTCGCGTGGTATGACTTGGTTTTGCCTGGAAGCGAAAGCGGGGTAAGTAATTCTCTCTCTCTCTCTCCCTCTCCCTCTCGCTCCCCCTTCCGTTCGTCCCGAGCGTGCCCGCTGCACAGCGCCCCCCCCGCCTCGCCAGGAAGGGCCCCGGGAGGATGGGCCACCCGCCACGCCGAGCTGATGTGGGGATCCACGGGCATGCCTCTCTTTTTGGCGGTGGGCAAACCTCCCTTCATACAGTGCGGGCGCGGCCGCAAGAAACCCTCGCAAGAAACCCAACCCTGAAAACCCGAGCGCGAGGTGCACCTGAGGGGGAACCCAGAGCACTCTGAACGCAGCAACTTCTTTAACGGCTGCGGAAGTCACCGCGCATCGCGCGGAGCGAAGAAACCCAACATACCCTGACGAAGCAAATATGGTTTCTTGATGCGCGCCCCCACTGTAATCAACCTCCGTTTCGTGAAAACGGCCTGGGACCAAAACCGACGGACCCGGGCCCGCAAAAAGACGACCGACGCGACGCCCTCTCGCGAACCGCAAACGGCCGATTCGCTAATCGACGTATCAGGGTAGGAGGTCTATCAACCTCCTCTTTGGGGGAGAAGGATGATGAGGAGGAGGCGGAGGAGGAGGCGGAGGAGGAGGCGGATGATGATGATGATGATGATGATGATGATGATGATGATGATGATGATGATGA